GATAATGCATATCAGGCGACCGGTGCTCACTTGTCAGTTCAGACGGGGGACTTGCAGGCCAGGCCTGTCCTCCGGTATAAGACGGAGATACAGGGGATGTCCAGCCAGTGACACCACTCACAGCCATTGGTGGTGGTGGTGGCGCCGCCACACCGTGGTTCTGGCTGTAGTGTTTCCTGCGCTGATACACAAGACAACCGACTCCCAGCAGCGCAAGGATGAACGCCACTGTACTTCCAACGGCAATTCCCGCTATCGCTCCAGTGCTGAGTCCTGAAGATGGCTTGGTAGTGTTTGATGGGGGCGATGGCTTTTTGGTGCTGGTGCCAGTTACGCGCGTCGCAGTCCGTGTGCCCGAACCTGCAGTGCGTTCCATCTGCACAGCCAAGTCGGGGGCATCGAATCCGCTGATGGGTGTTGTCGTGGTAGCGCCACCCGCAGAATTGCCTCCAACCGCAGTTCGAATGTCAATGGGCACAATGTAGGTGGTCAGGCTGGGCTGATACAGTGCCCAAATTGCATCTTCTTTGTTCTGCTTGCCTAGGTTCATGTTGTGTGCGCCCTGGATCGCTGGTACGTCGCAGACTTTGTCGGTAGCGTTGGAGTAGGTGCCTCCTATGACGAGCATTTGCGCATCGTCGACGACGTTGCAGCTCATCATGCTCTTTGGGAAGGCTCCAGTGCCGTTCTTGTAGGTCGGGTATGGGCCCCTGATCCATTGGAAACTTGGGATGGTCAAGATGTAAATATCGTCATAGCCTGTCGTATCTGGCGGGAAGCCTCCACCGCCATAAATATAACTGGAAGAGTCAGCTCTTAACCATTGGCATTCCATCCGTATGACTCACATATTATAGCTCGAGTGATCCTTTGCCCAAGTCGCACCGCCGCAGAAACGCCGTCTGTCCTGAGGAGTATTGCCTGATGTCTTTTGTGTATACCATTTCGCATTCGCGACATCAAACAGGAAGATCTCATCCAAGGGCTGCGGCGTCAAGGTTCCATTACCATACAGATCTAAAGCTCCCCCAAAATACACCAACATTCCACCATCCCCAGCTGGAATAAAGACCATAGCCCCCTCTGCTCGTCCTTTATCATCCGGTCCCGTCATATTGCTCCAAGTATTCGAATCCATCTCATACTTGATCAATCCATTTGATGCTCGCGGCGGACCCGACCAACCGGGGACTGATGCATTGCTTAGCCACCCGCCGTAGTAGTACGCTTCCCCTCTCGACGAGATGGAGACACCGGCACCATAACTAGCCGCCTGAACTTCTTGTGGAGGAGCACCAAACGAGACCCATTGATTGTAGATGATATCGTAGCTGTAGAGATCGAAGGATAGAGGACGCGATTGATACGATTCGCCACCGTAGAGGTAAAGTCTCTTATTGACCGAGTCTTCCCATAAAATGCCGCCATTGACGCTTGGGATCGTGTCGTTCTTGGAGAGATTGGCGTGGAACGGAGGCATTCCACCGCTGTTTACCGCGTCAAGATCATTGAAGGAGAGAAACGTGTCTACGCTGATGTTAGTACACTCCTAAATTGACGGGTAAAAGTGCTGACTAGTGAGGTTATTTGTCGCATCTTCATAGTTGATCAAACCACCATCAATGTACAGCTTTCGATCCACGACAGCTGACTGGTGACCCCATCTCCGACAGAAGTTTTTGACTGGATCGTTTTGTCCAAACGAGGTGCCAAGAAGCAACCAAACAAGGAGTAAAACGGATGGGAATGTACGCGGAAAGGTTCTTGGAGAGTACATGGTGATGTAGTACTGATAGAACACAAATGATAATTTGTACAATTCTTTCCACAGAAGCTGAAGGATCGCCGCCTCGGCCTTTCTTCATCCACTGGAGACGAGTGATATAAGTAGCAGGTCACAAACGTCCCGCCGCTCAATAAACCCTACCCTGTAAGGGAAATGAGTGCGGCTGGAGTAATCCTGATCGAGAACGTAGATGTGACGATGGCTGAAAACAAATGCATCACACCCAAGGAATAATATTGCCAATAGTTCACATGCAATGCATTAGCGTGGTGATTCATCTGCAGACAAGGCTCTGTCGAGACCGAGCCTCAATCATAATAGTGAGCATTATCCTCATACAGGCGACGAATGACGCTTCAACTACATTAGAATGGCAATCCATGGCGGGCTGAATGGACATCCGAGATCCGGGCACGCCAACTGCAGTGAAGCCCAAAAGACGGGATGCTACGTTCTGGAACAGTGAGGCTCCACTGCAAAGGCTGGATTTGACCAGATTCCAGTTTGCTACCTGAAGGTGGCTTCAAGCTGAACAACCATTACCGTGCCATTCACCGTAGAGCCTCGAACGAAATGAGCCCGCCAAATCGCTTTGTCGCCAATACGTAGTTCAAGGTCCCTGTAACAGCGTGTTATAGCTAGTTGGACTTACTCGCTAAAAAGATCTGGTAGTAAATGTCCGATGCTTGGTAAAAGTAAAAGCAGCTCCCCGCTCTTGGGCTGGATTCTGGATTATATGTGGCTTATGCAGGGTGATATCTTGAACAGGATGACTTTATGGACGCTACAAAAGCCACATGAGTTACTGCTGCAGTAAGCAATTAGCTTTGTCACGCACTCAGGTATTGAGGGTGTGAATAACTCTACAGAGCGGTCTACGCTATCTGGTAAAAAGAACAAGTCAGACTGCTAAGAAATATAGGTCTGTATAATAAGTTCTCTAGTTAGGTCTTATACAACTCCTTTTACAGTGCTTGCGGCGAGGAATTACTTTTCTATAATAAAATAAAAATAAAAAGAGGTCATTCCCTGTGTCTGAAGTTAGATATAAAAAAGGATTACTTCTTCTTTATCTATAGCGAGCCCTGGAGATCAGAACCCCAGGTATCGGAGCTTAACTGAGCTGCGGAACGCCGGCATATAGAGATGCAGTTAATACTAAAGTAGAGCCAATTAACTATTATATCAATGTTCCAAGCTTGCCAATTTACGTCGACATGCAGTCATTAAGCAAGCCTCCTACTATTGACTCGTATTCAAATCTTTTATTTTACAGCAGATCTGCTACTAGAATTCCGGCTTTCTGTTAATCAATTTAAAGGAACTTATGCGCCCGTTACTATTAAGCCAAAGACTAGGGGAAACAGCCAAATTAAGGTCTATCATTCAATAAGAGTGTCTTGCAAGATGTTATGCTGGACAGTCAAAGCTGGCGCTCAGATTAATCGAATTCTACAATTAGGCGAGTTCTAGGTCTAGGGTATTGCAGCCCACTGGCTTCCATCGCCTCAGCGCGGAACTCCGATTTATGGACTTTTCCAGATTTGTCTATATAAGATCCTTCCAGGCATTCAGCTCCTAGCCTTTAGATTCTGCCTAAAGATATTATTTATGACTCCGAGATTTGCCTGTATATTTTGACCACTTTAGCTTAGAGTAGATTTACTACCTATTCCTTTCTGCTATCGGTTCCACATCTTATAAACCCCGGGCTACGGAGCTCCGCGTACGCGATACTGTAAAACAGAGTCCACCTTAGACCGGGGTCATATTCAGTTCTAGTAAATATATATCTCCAGATGTATACTATCAAGCACTACCTTACCGATATAATTTTATATCAAGCATCCGTTTGGACGTGTACAGAAAGCTGCCTAACATGCCTCGATCTCAAAGGCCCGTGCAGAAAGACCTGGTCCATCGCGTACAGGGTGACGACGGGTATTGCCCTTCTGGGCTGTTGGTCTTTTTGCCATTGGTTGTTCTACAAAAAGTTAAAAGAGGATGCTAAAACATGAGAAAACCGTAGGGATATTTACAACTACTGAATTATAAGATTACTCACGATAAAAGACTAAGTGGCGTGGTCCAGGTGAGGGAATCGCGATCAGAAATCACGCGCTAAGATACGCTGCCACGCTCTCTGACCTTGACCAACGCGGGTTCTGGATTCATAATCCTGTTGCATAACTTTAGCTGTACTATTGTGCAATGCTGCATATCTTTACTATGAACCGCAGTGCCCGTTAGATTCAGATTCCTCCCGCTTCGCTTAGCATTCTGGATCGGGCTAGACAGAGCTTGACCATCTGTATCTTCGCTGCCCTCCAACAAATTCTATCACTCCTTTCCTCGTGCGACAGAGTCGCTACTGAAGGCTCTGTACTCTAGTGGTTTCTGCAATATCATTGCCAGAGATGCTCTTAGATATGCCAGAAACGAGGGCAGACGCGGAAAATTAAACATTTCTCCCAATGACTTTGACCATCAATATATCTCTGGTATTCCATGTCTTAAAGAGGGAATCCCTTAAACTGATGAGATTGGCGACCGGCAGATTCCCCCAGATCTTTATATGCTCCTGCGATCATGACTCCAGCGAAAAAGTTATAGGGGCTACACTTGAGTGGGTGTCCGCTGTGACTGCGCTGCTCCTGTCACAAAACGTATTCCTCCGGGCCGAGTCCCCCCGCCCTCACTACTCCTGAGGTGCCACATACTCAATTTGCTCCCGTGATGAGTTGAATGCGTAGGGCATAATTTTAGCGGATATCCCCTGTATCTATATTGCTGATCCGGCATAAATTGATGCTCTGGCAATTTCATTGCTTATATAATTAACTTATTGCTCCAGTAAAAAGCCATTACTCAAGATACTTAGGAAATTCGTCATAAGTTATATAGAGATAAGATCACACCTGAATACCATTCTTGCAAATCATTTGATTACAAATGCACTTATTTCTCAATGCAAAGCCGACCAGGTCACTTTCTATCTTATCAAAGTTTTCCCAGGCGTGAGTGCTCTCGAGGTATTAAACATTCTGCTTGACAGGTCACCAACAGCTCTTACATGCAGGTCTCAGTTCGGAGTAAGGAATAACCTCTTCCGACCCTCCATCAGCAGCTTCAGCCTCACTTTCCTCAAAACGCAGCTGAAAAACAAGTCTGACAGTCCTTCAACCCCTCATACCGATCCAAAGTTGTCCTCACAATGGACCTCACGCAATCCTCACAAGCGGTTACAACTTCTATACCGAAAAAGGGTGATCAGACTTTGCAAGATGCTATTAACTCATTTCGGGCCGTCCTTACACCCAAGCAGCTAGCCGAGTTCGAGTGCATTCGATCTGTGCCAGATACAGACGCGGTTCTTGTCTTCACAGCTGAGTTAGATCTTCAACGGCAAAACCAGAAAGGCAAAAGCATCGCCAGACGTCTCTTTCCCTTCCTTCAAGCAGTGCACAACTTTACGTCTGTTATCGATACCTTGGTTTCGTCAAGCCCTACTATTGCAGCTCTGGTTTGGGGAAGTGTGAAAATGACAATGATGGTAAGAGTGGGACTCACTACCTGTAATATCATCATGACTAATCATCAGCAGATCATGCTGAATGCTGCATCTTACTATGAAGCCTTTGTTGAGTTATGTATGGAGCTTGGCAGGATTTGCCCTAGGTTCGAGCAATACCAGGCCCTGTTCCCCGCTTCTGAACGCCTACAGGATGCCTTGTGCACTTTCAACGCCTGCATCATCCAGTGCTGTCGGCGCGTCATTGCAATGCCCAAAAGCTGGAGTGGGTGGACTTCGCCACTCAACCCACTCAATCCGTCATTCTGGCAGTCGTTTAAGCAAGCCTTTGATTCTGATTTGCAAAAGCTGCGCGGTTACAGTAAGAATGTCAACAAGGAGATTAGGCTTGCAGCAGACCAGTCCCAGCATCGAAACAACGAGCTCCAAAGACTAGAGAATGAACAAGCCGACCGGTCCAGGCGGTCGCTAAGTCACTTTATGTCCCGCACGCGCGATGAGCTTGAAACAATGCAGAGGCTGCAGATTATCAGAAGGGAGGAAGTAGAAAGTGAGTATCTATCTTGAAAAGAAGGATTTGTTTAACATATAAAAGGAGAAAACAAGCAAAAGCTGCTAGACTCTTTGTCTACTTATGACTACGTCAAGCCTCTGAAACAGGCCCGTCAGAAGCGATACCCCAAATCAGCAGAATGGATCTTTGGCACCGATGAGTTCAAGCGCTGGATCGATGGGACTACGCCAGGTTTGCTCTGGTGTTCAGGAAAAAGTGAGTCTTGTCTGTTTCTATGAACCTAGCATCTCTCACACTCTACAGTGGGGTCAGGGAAGTCAATCATCTGGTAAGTACACAAGGCAATCCTGACAGGCTGTCATCCTAAGCGAGGCATATGCGTCCGCCTAGCTTGATCCCACGGTTCTCTGGCTATATCTCCGCTTGCCGCCCCCTCTTATTGCTATACCCCTTATTGCCGTGCCCCTTCTTGCCGAGCTCCTTCTTGAAACTATTTGCAGTGCCAAGAGAGGGGATTTATCTGAAAGAGGAGGCTTTCTTCGATCTTTGCAGAAAGGAATACTTCAGAACTACCCTCCAGGGGGCCTGCCGGCGGCCTTCCATCGGTGACTCTTCGGGGACCCTGCCCAGGGCCTCCTGTAACCCTCTGGGTTTGTAAGATGTGAGATTCAGTCAATGGTCGAGGAGCTTTCTCACAAGTCATTTTTATGGCAGCTTTGCCTCATAAACCAGGCATTTTGAGTTTCTACTGACTAATGTAGTGCGAGTGTCATCGACTACCTTTTGACTGAACGGTCTAGCGCTCAGAGCCGTGTAACGTTTTTTTTCTCACGATTTGATGACTCAGAGTCAATGAAACCCGAAACGATTCTACGAGCTCTAGCTAGACAGTTGGTCACCATCCAAGATGTTTCAGGTGATATTAAGCAGGCTTTGGAGACCATTCAAAATACGCCCGAAGATATCTCATCGGAACTTTCTCAGCTCTTGCCGCGTTTACTATCAAGAAAAGGCGCACCATCATGGGTTATACTGGACGGTATCGATGAGTGTCAAAGAGAAGAGCGACAAACATTCATCAAGCTGTTGAAAACAATGCTGGACGATGGCGTCAACGCCAAGCTGTTCATTACCAGCCGAGATCACCCGAATCCAATCTTCAATGGAGCCTCTGTCAACCTAGGACAAGTTTCAATGAATTGCTCTCTTGCCCAAGATGGCATGGCACAGTTCGTTGATCAGGCTGTGCAAAAGTGTCTTGATTCCGAAGAGTTACTGGTTAGCGATCAGACACTCATAAACGAGATCAAGGACACTCTTGTAAAGCACGCGGATGGCATGTATGTTTCCCAGATCTTGCCATGACGGTCAGAAGCTAATTTTATCATAGGATTCTCTGGGCAACTCTTATCCTTAGACATCTCTGCGTCCAGCCAAACAATGAGAAGATCCGCGAAGCAATTGCTTTAAGAAATCTACCCAGAAACCTGACGGAGATCTTCAACCGGATTCTGGATCGCATAGTCTCTGACGAGAAGAAAAACATCGTTCAAGCACTTCTTCCGTGGATAGTAGCGGCAAAACAGCCCCTGACGCTATCTCAACTCGAGGAATGCTGTCTGGTCACTCCACTTCAAGAACACACTATTCGAGATCGATATGTGAACGGAATTCATCTTATCGACAATTGGTTCCAAGGTCTCATTGAGATTGACTATGAGACAAAGACAGTTCATTTCATCCACGCCTGCGTTCAACAATTCTTTATCACTGCGTCAGACAATCCAAACTTTACAGACTTTCACATTCGCATACAAGACGCTGACCGCCACATTGGGGAGATTTGCGTTACTTATTTGAACTTCAATGACTTCAAGACACCTTTAGCCCAAGCTCGGCCACCTCTGCCGCCAATGGCCCCTGATGAGATCTGCCAGAAGGCCCTCAGCAATGAGTGGAATTGGCCTAGGTTCCTCGGACTTTCTCAGAAAGTTCGAGGTCACAAGCGACAGGCAGCTAATATTAGCGGAACTATTGCTACGTGTACAAGAGCGCGCGATGCAACTATTCAAGAAACGATAATACTTGATCATCCGTTTCTTGCATATGCCTCCGCCCATTGGCTCTCACACTCGGTTAACTTCGATGAGGGGCAATGCCAAACATGGAGTCTATGGAAGAATATGATAATGTATGGGCATGAACTAGCTGCATCGCCAGTATCTGAAGAAGACCATCAGGCTATCGACAAAGCCCTTGTTCTTTGGGCTACTCAAAACAGACACTCTGCAATCTTGTATATTGTCAGTGCGTCAACGAAGCTGAGTGAGCAATATCACACGGCCTTGTTCGACTATGTGTTGAAAGATAATGATGTCAACTTTCTGCAACGCATGTTGGATGCCAAGAAATGGGACACCGAGCTCATTTCACTATGCCGCAGAGCGGCGTATAATGGTCGTCTTGAGATCATCGAGTCGCTATTTGAAGCAGGTGTGAACATGAATATGCCGGATTTTACGGAAACTTCCCAAGCTTGGTCCTATCACTTGCCTCTCACAGCGGCTGTTGAGAAAGGCCACGTCAAAGTTGTGGAATATCTTCTACGGAAGGGGGCACACCCGAATCTTCAGGAAGATATATATCACACTGAGTTGGACGCAGCGGCAAAACTGGGTGGTTCAAAAGGTCTTCAGGTTTGCAGGTTGCTTATCGACGCGGGGGCTAACGTGAAAAATGGTCAGGCCCTGCTGTGGTCTTCTGCTCGGGGCGAGAGGGACATCACAAAACTCCTCCTTAACGCAGGTGCTGATGTCAACGCCACATATCCTACGGTGCCATGGGAACTCCAATATGTAGGCGTTGAGATCAATTATCCATTGCTCTCACCATGCGCTAACGTCAACAAACAGAATGGTGGTACTTTTGTATACCGACGGAGGACAGCACTATTGGCGGCGTTTTCAGTCTCAAAGCCAGAAGTTAATATCATTGAGCTTCTTGTCAGAGCCGGAGCAGACGTATGTATTGGAAGTTCACAGGACAGTGGCTACAGACTATTACGAGAAGCGATCAGAAGTCGTGATTGCAATTTGGTAAGAATACTAATACAGGAAGGCGCTGCTCCTAATGGGAGACCTGATCTTTATACTAAAGATACTCCCTTGGTACTCGCAGCGAAGGGAGGCTCGTTTGATATCATACACTATCTACTGGATAATGGTGCTCGGGTGATTAGTTTCGATCGCATAGCTGCAGAAATACCGGCCGATTTAAAAAGTGAAAAGGACTATGAGGAACTATTAACTAGATTAAAACGAGCAGGCCAGTCATAGGTAGTTTTGTTTTAGACCATCTGTATGAGCTAACTTAAGCGAACCTCTTAGAAAAGTCCTGACTATTACCTATTGTTGTGTATAGCCTGGTCTCGGAGTAAACAATCTGGTACAGATAGTTGTGATACTTATGGGCTAGAAGTGTTATTTGCANNTCCGGCAGAGAGAACCTAGATACTTGTGAAGTAGATCAAGGCTTACCTCGCAGCTGATCAACCGGAGGTCGTTTGTCACCAAGGCGTCATGGGGATATCCCAAGCGCGGACTGTAGCCAAGTTCAGGCCGAGGTATGGAAATCCGAGTTTTGAAAATGACTGCTGAGACTGACAAAGATTGACATTGCAAGGCTAGGGGAGGAAAGATAACTCAAGACCTTAACCCTAAGTAATAAAAATATTAAATTTAGCCTTAACTTAGGGGACTCTTTATTAAGTTTATTTTAATACTTTATATCAAGGTTTGTTATTTTCTTGCCCCCGGAGGCCAGGGTGCCCGTTCCAGGGGCTCTATTGCGATAGATATTTTAGCATATGATCATTGTCTTGCGGTCGATGGGGCTTGCATTTGCCATAAAAGTCGCTGATGCACCATGTGTAGTCCACGTCGACGGCCGTCACCCGCGCGAGCGCCTTGATACGATATAGTCCAACCATGATATCTGCTGGTTGACCGCAACTGGCAAATATATACACACCACCAAATAACGACCTTTTCGCGGAACACTGGCGAGTGTCCGACTGAACTAGTTTCTTGAGGACCTTCATCATCGTCACCCCACTATCTCGGCTACTGAGAATTACGAGATCATCTTCTTCCGTCCTTTAATTTAGTCCGCCTTGTCTGAGAATAACACAGGGAGCTTTTATATGCTTTGAACCTGGGCGGCCATTGAATCCTACAATTGATGTAGAAGTCAATGCATTCATAGGTATGCGATCTGTCAGGATCGGATATTGTCGTGCTTGCTCCTGAATGGAGTCTTTTCTTCCTCTCCTTTCACCGTTTCAAACCACTTATGCTCGTGTCCTTCTTTAGTGCCATTTGGTCTTAGCAAGACTTGATGCTGCATGGTTTTGAGCGGAGAAGAGTTCTCGAATTTCACATGGGTTGAGTTGAATATTCTGGAAGAATTATGGTCTAGAGTGGGGGTGTGATCAAGATAAGCCGTGGTGGCTAGGGTGACCATTGGGTATCATTGCCAAACTGGGCTGGGACACAAGGACGTCAGCTTACGTGTATCAATCCATATCAACAAGGCAACTCAATAAAGAGGGTTTCCCATTGCTCCCGCTTCTGCTTCCGAATCATTTCTTGTAAGCACTTCATAGCACAGGTTTCAGCATAAGTCACCTCAAACATTCTCCGCACTGACCTGTTCTGATCACTGTAATTCACAAAGCTCCTGTCACCCAGATAGCTACTCTGTCCTTTCCATCTCTCAAGGGGATGTTCAAGACTATGATTCACAATGCTAGGTGTTGTGGTGAAGACGCCATGAAAAATGCTGTGTGTCGCACTTCATCAGCACGATAAGACAGGTTTATGTAGTGAGTATTGACCCAAGGGTGCGAAAAAGTCCCCGATTAAACTTCACGCGACGAGCGACCAAAACCTAAGGAAGCACAGATCGGGGGTAACAAGAACTCATGAATGCTGGGATGTCGTAGAAGGAGGAGTTTATGTCAAAGGGCGCGAAAGTTCCAGTTAATTTCGTTCAATCTTCAGAGTCCACCGACAGGGTCAAGCATTTAGACTCAAGCTCAGTGAGTGTCTCGTAAGGTTGACTCCAGCCACGCGACGGCAGAGATCCGGACCATGTCTTCCAAGATGTCAAGCTTATTTTCCAGAACACCACAGCTGTGCAGCCTCTTTTTGGGCTCCGTTAGACTTAGTTCAGATTCATGGAAATCCTCAAGGCTCTCTGCTGTGACTGTATGACGTAGTGATAGCTGTTGGGAGGTAAGCCATTTCGAATGAGAATATCCCCACCCTCGCCTCGCCAGTGGTATTTCTCCTGAGATCATTATATCAGCTGGCATAACCTGTCCAATTCTCAAATTTTACAGAAGTCATGGAAAGTATCCTTCACAATGGTTGTTTAGTCAAGTGACAATTCCAGTAGTCCTAGCAACAAGCACGTACACAATGTCCCAAACTCGGACCTCACCTTCACCCATCGCACGAAGATTGATCTTTGTACTTGCCTGCAATTACTCAAATCCCAAAGAGATTAATGCCATGTGCGTCAGCGGTGGCAGAGGTGAATCAGTCTGTAGTACCCGAAGACTTAGTTCCGTTTCTCGGAATTAAGAAAAAGGAAATGAAATAGAATGTAATCCCAGCGAGATTTATGACGAACCCAAGATGCAGCCACAAGCCCAAATTCTTAAAACAGTAACTTGAAGAGCGGATTGTCCTTATGTTTCGTAGTTATGTGCTTTGCGAGAATTGTGCGCATGCTGTGCTTGTACTGTGATGCTCCGAACGCTGGTGGTCCGGGTATCTGACTACCGGACCCTGGATCCAGATGTTCAAAGCTATCATAACAGCTTCTAGGTAGAGCCATATAATGGTAATCAATGTATCCTGTCGTCGTCTTT